GGAGATTCGTCCCTCCGGTCGGGCATACCAAGCTGAGAAGCAGTCTGGCGTCCCCATCAGGAAGCACAATAAAGAATAAACCAATACCAAGATCCACCATCACCTTGGTATCAAACAAGTCGCATGGTGGCAAATCTCCTCTGATCCACAAGGGCGGCAACTGCGTCTGGTGGTGATGACGTGGGCAGACCTTGGCCTGTGACCTCAGTACTCCAAGGAATCACAATGGCTAGACCAGCAAAACTCCGCAAAATTGGAAATTATGTTGAGGCCCACATAACCAGTGAAGACAAGCCATCCATGTATCCAAGTGTTCTTTTTGCTACCCACAGAATACTCCTGCCTCGGGACCGATGAAAATCCTCCTGCAGTGGTTTTCTGCAAACAGCGCTGATGACTATTTCCTCGATTTGTGTATAAGAAGGATTTCGACAAAAGCATCCTCTCCTTTTCAGAAGCTCTTTCCTCTTCCTCGATAAACTTTCAGATTTTATCTTTGAATTGAGAGTTTGATCCGCATAGGTTCGAAGAGCTTTCGAGTGCAGTTCTTCTTCGAGTCCTCGCTTTTGCGCTACTCATAACTGTATAGGCATCGCTCAGAATGGATTCATTCTATCGAGGGATTTTGTGATTAAAGGAAATTTTAGCACGAAGAAGGCAGTGGTCTGATCCAGCGTAAAACAGTCCAGTGATAAAAACGAATGGATCTCGTCTTCTGTTCACAAGGATGTAATCGATCTCCGCATCTCCCGTACCGTTTCGGGATCACCATGTCTGGTTGTGATGGTCTCTCTTTTTTGAAAAAGAGCTTCCACTTGGATGATCTCTAGATAGTACTGTCACAAGACTGCTTTCTACAGAACTCCGTTTTCGTTACGATACTCTGCTTCAAAACTTTCAATGCGTTACTTGCGTTTTTGTGCCTATTTTTGGACTGGAGTTCCCCCTCACAATTTTTGCGGTGTTTTTCGTTAGGCACTAAACTTATTGAGTTCCGTCCCATCAGATGTCGATCTTGTTGACTAGCAGTTAATAATACCGATTTTTTTTTCTGCTAGGGAAGTGTAGTGCTGAGGATGGCAAAACGGATAGAGAAAAATTTATGAGAGTCAATAAGTTTGGTAATGGATGAGTTCATGACAAACCCCACTCACCAACACCAAGCGATGAAAATTCTTCAGATGACAACGGTTCCACAGTCCACTTGCCGGGTGATAACGTCTTCGTTCCTGACGGATAACCTACCCTTGTTACGCTGATGCTAGGTTGGTATCACTTGTTGTTGTTGCTGGTAGTGGTGGTCGTGGTGCTACCGTGGTTCAATGGCTGGCTTCTTGACGACTTTGCCTTCTTCAAACCCTAGTTGTATTTTATGTAACGATATCTATGTATGCATATGCTGATGGCATTGGTAGATAGCAAACTAGCTGAGAAACAGGCGAAACGGAGGACCCACATGGTGCGATGGTGAACGCGTTAGCCCCCGGAAAAGGTAACAGCGTATTCGATCCCCATTGCTTACACCTGCGGTCCGGAGTTTCGCAAATATCTCAGCACCATTATGGTTATATTTCATATCAGGAGCTTCCCTGAAAAAAAATAGGCAGTAAATAAAAAGTGAGTACACCATACGGACAGCGCTACATAAAATAATTCCAGGGTCCGAAGAAGACGATATCGCAGACACGTTGGCAATCGAACCAGAGCAATAGCAACAACAACAAGTGATGCCAACCTCGCGTTGGCAGAAGAGTCCGTGGGAATTCCTACACATATATCAATTATTGATGGCAAAGTTTATAGAAAGTCGCTCCTTTCATTTATTACTTCTGGTCTGTAATGTCTCGAAGTAAAAACACGTAGTGTTTGACGCATAGTCTGTGGGGTCTAGAAGAACACGAAGGTCGCAATCTGGACAGAATAACTCGAAATCGTATGCACACCATCAGGAGCAAGCTCTATGGCATCGTTGCTTTCTATCTGCACTACTCATTTCATTTGCTACGTTGAATGACAGGCGAAGAGTTCTTCCCAGAAATCTGAGATAACGGAGCCACAGTGTCCTCATGTCTTCACCACAGGTGGTTGTCCTTCTTTATGCATTCCAGGAAGGCAACGATTTCAGTGATGGCAGTTATGTATTCAAATTAATCTCAAATGGTTCCCCGAATCTCGGTTAACTATGGGACACATTGAAGCCCAAATTTGGGTTTTACGAGTAACAGGAACATGATGCACAATATTTATTCCAATAATCTTGATATTCCCATGTATTTTTCATTCAAAACGTTATAAAATGTTTCACCGGAGAGATTTTCGATTAACCACTTTCTAAGCTGAGATTATATCTCAGGCATGAGCTAGCTGCCTATCCCGTGGGTAACAACGTCTAATGAGCGAGATTCCCAATTCCGACCGATATGATTTCGATGAGCAGCACGTGTGGAGCAGCTGTCGGAGGCTCCCTGCAACACACACGTGGAATCGATCCCCGCGCCCATGACTTTCCAAATCTTCCATTCCTCCGGGGTCGACAAATTGGTACTAGACTTGTCTGGGAGGATAGCAACACAGGCTCGATACATCGGCAGGCCACCGCGAGTTATTGTAAAGACCGGATATACATTCAGTCATCTCCAAGCGATGCTTAATGAAGTAGAATGCAAGGCGCATCCCTCAGAGATTGATCAGCGCCGAGAGCTTTATCCTTTATTTATATATGTATGTGAACATAAATGTAATCTAGATGTATATATACACGTATATATGTATATATATGTACGTATACATAAGATGTATGTGTACTATACACATATATTTATTTATCACCTATTTGCTATTCTATTATATGGGTGCTTTATGTTGACTGTATTTATTTATGCTGGACTTATACGGAAGAAAATCTTTGATGACCGTTATTCTCAAAAGAGCAAATTAGTTCACTTCAGATGTCTATAAAACTGAGATCTTAAGTGTTCTCTACGGTGATATAAATGATAGCACATTGTCGTGTACTTCTATATGGTGTTCCAACGTATAACGAACGCTATTTTCCAGCACTCTGTCGAGTCGATACCTTAAATTATTGCTTTAAATAACCGATTTTTAGGCAAAATAATAATAAAATAACAATCACTCTTATGACCGATGATATATGAATATTTTCTATATCATTAAACGCTGACTGTACAGTGTAGTTATATGCAATGTTTAATACGGAGATCTCTATTTAATGCAAACATACCAACCATTAACCCACCGCCCCGGCTACCGTATTTCGTGGCTGGACGGACGAACTACGCGCAATTTTTCGTCAGCTGTGCATTTTCTAGTTTATTGACTATAGAGAAGTTTTTTCTCCATAAATAGCGGACTTAAAAGGTGTTTACCATGACAGGGTTATAGAAGAGACTTTGCTCTATCGTTCTATGAGTATGAATAATGTGTACTTTAGTATATACCGTTTTTTTAACGGACTCTTTTTTCACATCTACTGTGCGTATCCGAGAACTTCTCGTATTCGACTACTTTCCTCGCATTCATCATCCAAGCAGGATTTCCAGCTTTTACTTCTGGGTTCGGATGCTGTTTGAGGATTTTCCTTTCATCATGAATACCTGTGAATGCTGGTCGAGTCAATTCTCCTTGAAGTCCTGAGATATCCAGGCTAAAGTGTTCCCATTTGAATTGCAGAGCGTGGACTTTTTCTCAGTAGTGAAGTCCGATAGCAATTTCCCGGCCCCGGAGGGATGAGAGGCTTAGTGAGCCTGGTGCAGCATTGAACCAGCACCATGCTCGTTATGGTCGGCAACACTACCACTGTACAACCCACTCGCTGTGTTTCACTATGGTCCATATTGTAAATACACTACTATCTGCATTTGGACGTACTTTCTAGCTTACGTCGAGTATCCTTCAGTATTTTTTATATGCACAGATTTCATAAAATAGCCATGATCCCTCATAGGGGATAAAGTGAAATAACAGTTAATTGTTAGTCAAATTACCCGTTAATGAACTTTCTCGAAAAAACGTTCTATATAGATCATTAAGTGCACGAAAAACTTTCCTTTCTATTTTCTATTTCTACAGTTTTGATCTGCTGTCGAATAGCTATGGAATGAGTATATATAATCCGGTAATATTACTCTGGAACCCACTAAACTCAAAATGAACGCATAGTAAAAGCCTACATTTTCATTCGAGAGCCTTGCAACTAGCAACACTCTAGAAGAGACATCTCTCAAGTTAGCAAACCCTACTGCAATTCACAAAGGCCACTGACTACCCGTCACGACGAGCTAATGAAGCTGAGGTGGCACGGGATTCTGCTTAGGATAGTCATGCTAGGGCTTTGCCAAATCGTCAGCGTAGGCATTTTCCAACGTTTGTGGTGTGGCGGTAGATTTGCCAATTTGTGACTATGTTCCTATGAGGTGGACCGTGTTACTAACTTACTTGGGTACTTAGATCGCCCGTCCTCATTGATTGTGCGTGTCCTAGCACCTCTTTTTTTCGGAGTTTTGCTGGTTCAGCCATTGTAGTTCCCTGGAATCCCGAGATGAGCCTGGCCAAAGTCTGCCCCAGCTTGTCACCAGCACATATAGTCGCCGCCATTGTGGATCACAGGTAAATTTGTTACCACGCGACTAGCTTGATACCAGGACGGTGGGGGATACTGATATTGGTTTACTCATAGCTGGGTTTCCTGATGGAAACGCCGGACTCCTTCTCAGCTTGGGGAAAACCTGTTAGGACGATAAATTTCCCGGCTGTACAGCGCAGTCCGACACCCAGGAACACCTCCCGGCCACGACGAAGCAGTAAACCGTTGGGACGGTGTTAGTAGTATATATTTACCCTTGTCTGTGCCTTCAAAGACACTACAATGCGGTGAACTCCATTTTGAATCGAACTCTACGTTCAGAAACGTTTCCCATCCCTGCCTCTCCAAACATAATTATTGAAAGCGTATTGAAGAAACCTTATCAGGAAGGTTTTTAGACTATGTGATCAAAATGTAATAAATGTTCAGCATGGTAAGTGCCTTTGAAATGGAAACGACGCTTACTATTCGCACGATCGACTTTCTACTATCCTCGGCATTGATCAAATAATTCTTTACATGCCTGTTGAGCAAATGCGAGGTGTTATTTTACTTTTTATTTAAGAATAAGCTGACGTTCCGGCGGATTTCGCCGCCCTCAGAGCCATTTTAGAGCCGCCTTCTTAGAAACCTCGCATTTGCTCAAAAGGAATATGGAGAACCTTGCTTAATAAGTTTCTGAAACCTACCTATAATTAACCATAATTCCAATACTGTTGTTCAATCCGCGATCGCTTGTGTCACCCATCCAATTCAACCTGTATATTTCAGCACCATTTTTTAGATGGAAGTTGGCTGAAAAAGAAGTATGCATTATCTTCCAAAGGTGAAATCATAAATCTTATTAAAGGATAAAGCATAAAGCTTTCAGCGTTCATTAATTCCTTAAGAATGCACCATGCATTCAACTTCATTAAACATCGTTGGAGGTGATTGAATGTATACCCAGCCTTTACAATGACTAGCAGTGGCCTACCGACGCATCGAGATGTATAATGACCCTCCCAAACAGGTCTGGCACCAGTTTTCGGAACCCGGTGGGATGGATGGTTTGGTGAGCTTGGGGTGCCAGATCCAATCTATGTGTATTGCAGGACCCCACTAACGACTGCGCTACATGCGCCCCATAAATCAAATTAGTGCGGCTAATAAAACGCATCAGACTAAAGTCGCACCACAAGAAGTGTAGATGATCGAAAATATTTCGAGAAAATAACATACCTACGGAGTTTAAGGCAAATCCATTTTGTCGTCTTGAACAAAGGTAATGGCTACAAGAACGAAGGAAAACATATTTCAACATCTCTATCTCTTTCAGCGACACTTTTACATCCGTCAACAACTAAAGTAACAAAGTAGAAGCTTATTTCGTCAAGGAACATGACGCTTGCTCCCTCACTGAAATTTCGGCACAAACTTTGAATTCGATCCCGGTCATAAATTCCAGTTGGATAACGTTGATTAAATTACTATAGCTCTATAAAATTGATAGGTAGGGTGCAAAACTTCGAAAACCTAGTCAAACTGATCACTTTAACTCGTATGTAATGCAGAGAAATTTGCAAAACTCCGGACAGCAGGTGTATGCGGTGGGGAACGAACACGCGCTGTTGTCCTTGCTAGGGAGCAGCGCACTTCACCACCACACCATCCGGGTCCTTCGTTTTGCCTGTCTCTCAGCTAGTTCTATGGATCTTTTTGCCATCAGCAATCACCCGTCAACGGGATTGATCTGGGGAGCCCAAATCGGCATTGAACCCAGTTAAGCTGAGGGTTAGTTATAATCACAATCTTAACCCTTTTATTTACTGCCTTTTTCCTTTTAATGACAGGGTAACGAAGGACCCGGATGGTGTGGTGGTGAAGTGCGCTGTTCCCCGGTAAGGACAACAGCGCGTATTCGTTCCCCACCGCATACACCTGCGGTCCGGAGTTTTGCAAATATCTCAGCATTACATACGAGTTATAATTGAAATTTCCAGAAACTTACAGATACCCTTCGTAAGAGCATTTCCTTCAAATATTTTACCAAAAAAGTTATAGATATAACAAATTGGACCCTCATTAGAATTTCCGCTGCCTGTTCGGCAGTGACGGACCTTCCTGCGAAGTCTGAAATCTTCTGAAGTATGGTCTCGTCAATTATGGACTCTGAATAAAAGTGAAATTGCACATCAACTTGCTTTCGAAACAGTTACCATCTAGTAAGGAAATGTTTTATCAGAAAAAAAGACGCAAACCAGACAACGAGCTTCCATGTAGGTTCCGTAGCATCCACGTTCGAAACCCCGGAACTGGTGATAACGTGGAATGTGTTCGAATAGAAGGAAGTTCAGAATGAAGAAGTTTCGCAACACTTTTGATCAGCATGTTCCCCAGATCAATTCCAGACAATCCTAAACTTTGCAGGTAGCGAATAATATCTGAGTATAAAAAAAACTGGCTTGAATTTTGACGAAACGGTCGGTTACTTGTAGAAGCCGACACGATTTCCCACGTGTAGCAGGGCGTAGTAACTAAATGCTTCGGAAAATCTTCAGCCTATAACCATTTTCAAATACCACCGGATTCCTCAGAAAAAAGAGGTTAAAACAACACAGACTTTGCCATTAAGCCTAGAGATTACAATGCTATTTTGTCCCGCGTTACAAAACCCATATGACAGAAAAGTGGTCTTCGACTGAAAGGAATTCATTTTGCACAACAAAATAACTGGTGAAGAGAACGATTTCCATTCAAACAATTAAATCTGTTTAGACAGGAAATTTCGGAAGATTCTCTGGAAGGAAACTATGCTCAATATCCACTTTGTTTTGCTCTATCGTTTATGTGGTTACAAGACATCGCACTGCGTTGTAAGTATCACGAACGGCAGTGCTTTTCTTACATGCAAAATAAGTAATATTGATCTCATGACTTTGAAAGTAACACTGAAGACGATTTTACTTCGAATTAGGATGAATAACTCATGTGATACTTGAATATATATATGTGCATGTGTATATATGGATATATATGTATAAGCATGTGTATATGTATGTACAGCTCCCAACGGTTTATCGCTTCATTGTGGTTAGGTGTTCCTGGCTGTCGGGCTGCGATGTAAAGCGAGAGTATTCGTCACCTCAGTAGAGCCTCCTAAGCTGAGAAGGAGTCCGGTGTTTCCGTCACGAAACCCAGCTAAGAGTAAACCAATACCAGCATCCACTATCGTCCATGTATCAAACTGGTCGCATAGTGACCAATCTCTCTCTGATCCACAAGGACTGCGATTGTCTGTGGTGGTGATGACCTGGGGCAGACTTTGGTTAGGCCTACCTCGGTACCCCATGGAACCACAACGGCTAAACCAGCAAAATTCCGAAAAATTGAAATTATGCTGGGGCCACTACAACCAGTGAAGATAGGCCGTCCAAGCGCCCAAGTACGTAAGCAATTTAATAACATGAAATGTGTAATGTGTTCAAGCATTTATACCTGAGTCTACTGTATTGGAAGCAAGTATGTTTAACCAGAAACAGTTAACCTAATGACTTTCCAGTACTGCTGGAAAACTTAGCCCAACGTCTATACGGGAAATCTACCTGGTTGTGTCGCTGTTATGGAATAATAGATCGCCGTAGTGCACTCATCTTCGGGTGAATCCAAATGCTCACAATTCACGATGCTCTGAAATTTCAGCAGTCAAAATATGGGAAAACAATGAAAGAAGTGCTATTCATCACGACACCTGCACATTATCGGCGATGTCATTGAGCAGGGCCACGTAAACAATAACTAATGGCTCCCTTGGCATCGCCTCATGAGAAAAGTAGTAACACCTAGAAAATCGAAGGAGCTGGGACTAGTTTTTGATAATTATTTCTATTTAGAGCTTTCTTGTGAAGTTAGTTTCTTTCCAAATGATAGTCCCTCAAATAAAAAGGAACAACAGCAATATAATAAGACTGAAGACTGAACACATCTTGATCTAAACGGCTTATTCAGCTTCAAAAATAGACTGATCAATTAGGTGGATTACCGGTAAACACATCTGTAGCCCGATATGGACTCACTTGGATCCTCACAATACTAAGCGCCGTAAATTCAGTTCGTCGTAGCATAAACTACTACGAAGCCGACCCTGTGGTTTACTACTTCTCTTCGAGAACAGCGACAAGGCTGTAATCTTAATTTATATATTGGCTCGAAAGATATAAATGGACCACTATGCCATCACAGTTTCAAAACATCCCTGTTTACATCGAATTCCCGATAGTTATGGCACGCCAAAATTCCTGCAGCACACGGTATTCGCTGAGCTCAGTGCATGTGGTCCCAAATGCCTATTCAAGAAAAGACCATCTTTTTTGTTTATCGCTATGTAACTTGGTCATTACTGAATAGTGCGATCAGTAGCTAGGAGCTTTCATTTCCCACGTATCCTCCACTTCCTTTCATGTATTTTTAAATATCCTATCCCTTGTGTGGGCGCTGGTGGCGCAATGGTCGGAGCCGCCCCGCAACGTACACGTAGAATCAATCCCTGCGCTCATGGCCCATAAAGCCTTCCATCCCTCTGGGATCGGCGAATTGGTACCAGACTTGTCTAGGAGAATAGCAGCACTGGCTCGGTATATCGGTGGGCCACTGTGAGTCATTGTAACGGCCAGAAATGCATTCAATCACCTCCAAACGATGCTTAATGAAGTAGAATGCATGGCGCATCCCTCAGGGATTGATCAACGCCGATAGGTTTATCTTTTTATCCCTTGTGTATAATTAAAAACACATTTTTCACCTAGCCACGTGTTGTTGGTCGTTAATAACCGTTTCAGAAACGTATGTCAACTGTATTTCATTTTTTATTTTATATTCTAACACATTTGCAACGACCCCTAATTAAGGGTGTCTGCTGTTTGAGATGACGTCCAAATTTTGTCGAGAGGAGTATGAATATATGTGACCCATGCCGGCTAAAGCGCCCACCACGGAAAGCACATCAAATACACCTGTTCCAACAAAATGTATTATTGCGTTGACAGACAAGGGAAGGAATCGTCGCAAGACTCCGTACTCTCAAGCGCGAAGATGTATTATCTTCGTCACTGGCATCAAGCCCTCGCTGCTGGAGTCAACGAGATAATAATCTCGTCCAGAAAGGCTTCTCCAGTTTTGTATAGAAAACGATTTTGCTCAGCCGATGACTGAACAAAGTTTCTGTGTTGGGGAATCTACTGAACACAAAAAGTGAGAAAGAAAAAAAATGGCGGAACAAAATATCTGCGACTACTGAAGTCGGGTACGACGTATGTTGGCCAAAGTGCTCTGGCAGATCTTGGGAGCACGAGTCATACAAACACTGTTGATCAGTAGGTAGAAACAACCTTCTGAGATTTCCGAGACGCTTCATGAGGTCAGAAGGACCCTTTACAGGATGGACTGCTTCGTGGTTTGCTACCTAAAAGACTATTTTCGAGTTCCTGAATCCCAAGTAGGCTTTGAACACATATATTATATATATATATATATGTCTAAAAATATCTTACAGAGAATACCCAAAAAATTAAGGGTTAACAAAATGAAAACAACTGGATACTCGATACTTGAACGGCCCGTTCTCACTGGTTGTGTGAACCCCAGCATAATCTCGGCATTGTGATTCCCTGGAATTCCGAGGTCAACCTGGCCAAAGCTTGCCCCAGGTCTTCATCACCACAGACAGTCGCAGCCCTTGTGGATCAGGGGGAGATTTGTCACCATGCGACTTTAATTCCAGGACGGCGGTGGATCCTGGTATTCGTTTACTATAAAAAACAAACCAACTGAATAAAGATTCACCTTATAAAGAATATCACCTGGGGATTGCCAAGTCAGTCTTTCTAGTTTAACACTACTCTGACAGAACCACACGAGGAGAAGTTCCCGTGCTGACTCCTCAAGACGGTGTAGTAGAGAGGCCACAGATTTATCGTTCTCCGTTTTCATCAGCGCCAAAAAAAATGTATCCGTCATAATTCGATATACTCAAAAACCCGAATCCAGAGCTACTAACCAGTAAATTAGCTCTCATATCACAGATTTGTTTTACGCCATCTGATAGGTTCCCAATTGATCGAAGAAGTCTAAAATGTACTGGAGTGGCAGCTTCACGAACCTCATGCGCTAAGTTTGGATTCTGAAATATAAAGCTATGAAAGTAGAATTAGTAGAGATTTATTCCATAAACTAACCATAAAAAAATACGTAGGGTTTGTCTTTCCTGATGAGTCGCCTATCCTACATTTAAACCTAATCCCACTCGTTTCACTTTTTAACTGGATTTGGTCCGCGATCTTTTGATTGGTCCCCATTTATAGGATATACCCAGCACATTTGAACGCAGGTATTTAGTTCCCAGGATCGAGTTTCTATTAACCTCGCCGTTAGACAATGTCGTTTCCTTTTCAAGAAATCGCGAGGTTGCTATACAGCTTACGTTTACTTTCGTACAAAAACACATACAACACCGCAGCAGCTCACGTTTCGTCAGCACCGCCTTCTTCAGAGCCTAGAAGGGTATACTGATGGGTAATGTACTAGGATAAAAGCTTCAACAACACGAACAGAATAATCTTGCTTGTGTTACTGAAGCGCTTGGCCTAGTACCTTGTGTATCAGTATACGCATCCAGACTCTGAAGAAGGCGATACTGACGAAACGCCAGCAACTTTCATGTTGCATGTATCTTTATACGAAAGTAAACGCGTGTGTACAGGGTGTTTATTTATGTGAATATGCATCAGTAGCAAAAACTAAGTGCAAATGTACCGGGCCAATGGTTCTATACACTGTATTCATGTGTGCAGAACAAGCTGATTATTTACATACAGGCACTCACCATAGGCAAACAGCTAATGGGTAGGGTCTCTTGCACAAGATAGGCCGGGAAATACTGGGTTCAAAAAGGTATTTATTTAATGTCGATGTAATTCCCACATGAGCAGCTCCTCAAACTGTAAAACTAACCTCCCTGACAAGGCTTATCTCTACAATTTCGACACCAACCAAGAATGTAGAATATGTCTCTTGAAGATGAAGTACGTAAATATATTACAAGAAATAAAATGAAACACAAGCCTTGTTATAAATCGAAATGGCGTTGCTCAATGCCTCTAGATCTGGTCCACAATTCGTTGCGATGTTAAGCAAAAGATCTCTTTTATACTCAGCATCACCGGAAGAGTAGGATTCAATCACTTCCTTCCCTGTAGTCTGCATAAAGGTAAGTATTATTTTAAAGAAACATCTTCACCGAACCTAGACACCCTAGCAAACAAGTATTAAGTAAAAACTAGGACAAGGACAACACGATTCCGTGTGAACTCTGTGTGGTTGGTCTTCACGTAACATATTTAGTGGAAGACTCATAGAAAGCGGCTCTGAGGAAGGCGAAATCCTCCGAAACGTCAGCTTGTACGTAAATAAAGAAATAAAGTAATACCTCGTGTTTGCTGAACAGAAGTAGAAAGTAGAAATTAGTTACTCTAAGGCCTTCACAGGAAATTCTATGGAACTACTGCCTTACTAGCGACGCATTCTAGAATTCAAAAGTAATGCGCATAAGCGCTCCGGAACGCAACAGATGGGTGATGATGCTTCACACCCTTCATTCAGCGCCACCGACAAAGGACTAGATTCCATAAGTGAACTTCCCATATTCAGGCTTCTTGGACAAACAATGGCATCGAACTTCATAGCTAATCTTAATGATACTCTTCCCTAGGTGTTCAAGCATATGAGCCCAAGTTTACTCACTTGGATACTTGAACGGCCCGTCCCCACTAGTTGTGCGGGCCCCAGCATAATCTCCATTTTCCGAAGTTTTGCTGGTTTAGCTATTGTGTTCCCTGGAGTTCCGAGGTCAACCTGGCCGAAGTCTGCCTCAGGTCGTCACCCCACGGCCAGTCGCTGCCGTCATGAATCAGAGGGAAATATGCCACCATGTGACTAGTTTGATATCAGGACGGTGGTTGATCCTGGTATTGGTATTGGTTTATTCTTAGCTGGGCTTCCTGATGGAAACACCGAACTCCTAAGCTTGGGAGACCCTGCCGGCGGACGAATTCCTGCTGTACATCGCAGTCCGACACCCAGGAGCACCTCCCAGTCACGATGAAGCGGCAAACTATTGGGAGGAGCCGAATTTTTACCTATCCAAAAACAAAAGACCGATGAACGAGTACACTGTGGCTTTAGTTAGAATGAGGTTGACCGACCAGTAAAGAATTCAAGAATGTCGTTAACAACAACATTCTATCTTGATGGTAAAAGAAAAACCGACGACAATGCTCCCAAAGGACTGGAATGTAATAGGGCGCAAGAGTCCCTACTATCAGTGATCGCATCCGGAGATATTCCCTCCAGTTGAAAATTTAATAATTATGATTATAAATTAGTCTGCGTACCTTTGGAAAAACTCTTTACAGCTCCAGCTGCCAATTTTGCTACAAAGAATTCGATTTTATTCCAAAACTTTTTGCATGAGCACTGCTTCTTCCACGCTCTTCTTCCTTTCGACGAATAAAGTTAACGAGTAACGACTGTAAGGGTAAGGTACTGTCCAGCTCAACTTTGCGAAGATGTTGTGCACAAAGTTCTTAGAAACACCACTTGCACTGAACGGTATGGGTAGTACTTAGTCTACCACGTCTTTGTTTCATATCAACTTTACAAATCACTAGAAGAAATACGACAGCACGAGAACTTATTACGTTTTCAAAGAGGTTCCGTTGAGGAAGAAAAAGAAGGACATTCCACTCTATACCTTCTTCGAATACACATTTCTTCTTGCTTTGGATTGTCTCAAAGAAGTGGATACTATCCGAGCAGAACGCAAGGCCCACTAGTTATTCAAGACCACTTAAAGACGACTCTAGGGCTAAAACAGCTTCTTCAAATAAAAAACCAATCCTGAGTATGGACATTCTTTGACGACCGAAGATTGAAGATGCTCTCCTACTTCTAATAAGTTCGCGTTAGCAGGTAAGATGCGACAAAAACTGTTACAAGAGAATCCTGCTGACCGGTAATTGCTGATGGCACTAGTAGATAGAAAATTAGCTGGGAGAAAGTCGAAACGAAGGACCAGCATGGTGTGGTGGTGAACGGTTTAGTCCCTGGAAAGGGCCCCCACCGCAGACATTTGCGGTTCGGAGTTTCGTAAATCTCAGCTTCATTGTGGTCGTATTTCAATAGAGGGTCCAACGACCAACGTATGGTATGATGGACAACCCTTATCAGCTTCTATTTTTCACTGGCAGTAATGAAATTCTCATTACTGCAGAAATCACGGGAGTTTGAGGAAGAGTTTGAGAAAAATAAGGAGCGGATAGGGCGCTAGACGAGATGTGCAGAACTAAATATTTCGCAGCAACCAACTATACTTCGACTTCATTCGTTCGGCAAATAACTCTGCATGACAAACAACTAGCACCACGCAAGCCCAACAGGACGATTTAGTCATGCAATGAGTTGGAAGGGTAAACCCATGATTGTTGTAATGTTCTTTCAGTTTGAAGTCAGAAAATGTGAAAAAAACATCATCGCACCAGATACTGGTAACTCGTCGTCCTGCTGTTCAGCCCTTTCAGTACTTCCGTCAAGTCCTTCGAATCCGAAGAAAGTGATCGTAACGTCAGCACTAACGGATTGAACAACTTCATTCGGATATGCGGCGTCATCCTAGAACTCAACAGAAACAAACCCTCTATGGATAGACGTTATTACCCCACTCTAAACCTAACTATTAAAACCCTCAGATTTTTCCGTGGTAAACTATACGATCAACCACTACAATAAAGATGTCAACTAACTTTAAACAAGCGCATCCCTACCAGATCAAATTTCACAATTATTCAGCATATGCGTAATATACTCGGCATTGTACGTAGTTGCACCAACAACGATGTAGTAGTAGACTACTAGTTGTGGAACCAAAGTAGTTTCTGCCGATTTTCTCTCATCTTTACTATCTTTTGGAACTAGCAATGTGATGTTGTGTACATTCTTTTGTTTGTTTATTTGTTGAAATAAACGTTTGGTCAGCTGTAAACGCTGTATTGTCAAAGGAACTGCTTCAACGTGGTCCGTTAACTAGTTTTATCCCAAATTTTAAGCTTTAAAGATCTACATAGGCGTGTTATGCCCTCACAGTTAGAGCTATTCCATGTGGGATAAAGAACAAGATGTTGAAATCGACGTTGTTCTCTTCGTGTTGTCTATTTTGTCTCGTTTGCTTAGTTACTATATTTAACGTTTTGTTTTCTGCCTTCTATAATTTTCATGGCAGGTTACTAAGCGAAATACAACCACAACGTTGCTGAGATATTTGCAAAACTCTGGACCGCAGGTGTCTATGGTGGGGAACGAACGCGCTATTATCCTTTCCGGGGAGTAACGCGTTCACCACCACACCATGCGGGTCCTTTGTTTCGCACGTCTCTCAGCTATTTCTATCGATCTTTTTGCCACAGCAATCACCCGTCAGCGGGGTTGATCTGGGGAGCGCAAATCGGCATAGAACCCAGTTAAGCTATGGCTGTAGTTGAAATCACAATGTTTAACGTCTTTTTGCCACAGCAATCACCCGTCAGCGGGGTTGGTCGATGACGGGTGATTGCTGTGGCAAAAAGATCGATAGAAATAGCTGAGAGACGTGCGAAACAAAGGACCCGCATGGTGTGGTGGTGAACGCGTTACTCCCCGGAAAGGATAATAGCGCGTTCGTTCCCCACCATAGACACCTGCGGTCCAGAGTTTTGCAAATATCTCAGCAACGTTGTGGTTGTATTTCGCTTAGTTACTATAGTTTCCTTCCTTGGAAACACGGAAAACTTGACCTTAACTGTTTTCAAAAGTGAATTTTATTTGGTCTAGCTTAGGTAATCGAGCTTGTTTTATTCACAAGCCTAAAATTCGTTGTTATAAGACTTTATTATAACTAGATTTTCGGCGCCTCCTAACGGTTTACCGCCTCATCGTGGATGGGAGGTGTTCCTGAGGGTCGGACTGCGATGTAGAGCAGGGGATTCATCCGCCCGGCTGGGTCTCCCAAGCTGAGAAGTAGTCTGGCTGAGAGTAAACCAATACCACGATCAACCACCGTCCTGGTACGCATACTTTGGCCAGGCTGACCTCGGGGCTCCAGGCAACCACAATGGCTAAGCCAGCAACGCTCTGAAAAGTGGAGATCATGCTGGGTCCCGCAAAACCAATGAGGGCGGGCCGTCCAAGTTTCCAAACAAGTAAATTTTCGGCGACAGCGCTTCGACCACAGATCAGTGATCTCTGTTCGCTCAAAGGAAGGAAATAATGTAGTATTTCTCTTTCAGCAAGTTAATGAAAGAGCCTGAGCACTGAGTTGGTGGTACTTCCTGTGTATACGTGGTATCCCTGAGACATATATAGTTCCAAACAAATTGTGCAGAGCTGAAGTTTATAGCACATCACATGTTCATCGTACTAGATTTTCGACAAGTAATAGAGAATGCACCATCAGTAGAACCCGGAAGAAGTAGAAGAAAAGTAAAAGTGGAACCAATACCAGGATCCGCCACCATCCTGGTATCAAACTAGTCGCCTGATGGCAAATTTCACTTTGATACACAGAGGCGGGAGCTGCGTGAGGTGGTCACGACCTGGGGCGGATCTTGGCTGGGATGATCCCGGTACTCAAGAGAGACACAATGGGTAAACCAGGAAGGCTCCGAAAAAGAAATTTTGATGCGCCCCGTACAACCAGTGAGGACGCGCCATTCAAGTATCCTTGTAAATGATGAAGAAGGCGATCCCTTGCCAGTGTGCGCCATCGAGAACATTTTCATCCCTCATGAACATCGTGATTTTGGTTTTGAGTGAAGGTCCAGCAGTTAGCACTCACTGTTAAAATAGCTGATTCATCAGGATGGTGAAGATCATGTAGCTGGCAGCCATCAACATTTCGATGTTATCCATATCTAATCTCCAGGTGACGTCTTCACAAGAGTGGGGGTGAACGATTTTGACTAGGTCACCGACTTATTTGCACCTATGAAGGTGACGTTGTAGAATGGCGAAATCACCACAAAGATATGTATAGCACGATAGGTGTTTGTTTACTGAGTATGGACGTCCTGGTTGTTGAACTTCGGGACGACTAAGTTCATTTTAACCACATCTTTCCTTCGAGTCTTCGTTAGTTCAACAATGAGCACATAATGACACCTTGTTCATTCATGGTAGATTAGTGAGCTGCTTTGTTCTGTTTATGATCCGATACGCTAACCAATTCTTGAAGCACTCTTTGTTCCCATGCTTCCGTCTAATATTTCACCAGTTGTGATAAGAATAACTTGAGTAAGTAGTTGTGAGTAAGTAGTTGTTGATGATGTAGCTCTCTCTCTCTCTCTATACAGCAATATTGTCCTGCCTGTTTTCCGTTGCTCTAGAACTTGGCGTCCTTACTTTTAATGTGTGAAACCCAGGCCATGTGCGTTTACGGCAATAGGCCATGGCTTCTTCAGATGTTCAGGCCTAGTCGTGAGAGAATCTGATGCTTTCTAGAATGCCCAACTTGGAAAGTGGAATTCGCTCCCTATATTATATATGTAGCTGAAAGCTCAAAGTTCTCGTCGTTGATGCGCTATGCATTCTACTTCATTAAGCATCGTTTGAAGATGAATGAATGCATATCTAGCCTATACAGTGACTCACGGTATCCTGCCGATGAATCGAGCCAGTGCTATAATCCTCCCAGATTAGTCTGGAATCAATTTGCCGACCCCGGAGGCCGACAGCACATGTAGCACACTGTGCGGATTCCAGTACTTTCTACATTCGATTCATTTTCTCCTATCCACCACAACCTACAGAAATGTTGGTACCTTTTTTACGTTTGGCTTCGGCTGCTGTTCTAAGATCCTGGTCTTCTTTACGAGTGTCGCTGAATTCTTGTGGAGTCGTTTATCCCTAGAACCCCGGGATAGTTTTGCAAGAGTGTTCCCACGTGGACTAGAAGGAATGAGGTTGTCTTGGACAGGTCTGGTAGCACTTCTAGGACACTAGGTGATGAGAAAGTTGTTGATTCCGGATGCGGTCGAATTAATGCGTGGGTAGATCGTGCCGTCCCCGTAATGAGCGACATCACTGCCACCTCGCTATCTGCTCCCCATATATAAAAATATATATATATATGTATATGTATATATATGTGTATATACATATATATGCATACATATACATATGCATATATATAATATTTAACGTAGCATTTCCTGTCGCGTTTGCTGTACACAATAACAGTAGTCATTGCCACGTGAGAAGCTGTAGCTACACGTAGCAATGATTACTGTTATTGTGACGTGTTAAGTACTAAAATGTACCATTGCGACACATTTGCACTCAGTTAAATTCCACTCGCTTCCATTATAGGTGTTTCGTTTTCGGAATGGTTCAAAAAGAAAAGGCAAAACCAACAAAGTCGGCCAATGCCATTCCAACAGGCCAGAAGACGTTGGCTAAGAAGGTTTTGCTACTTCGCTACCCTACATCGAAACTGCATTGGTCTACGCTATGTTTAGGGTGGATTAAGCTGGAGCGTCTTAGTTCTCATCAGTGCTGCGATTGCTGCTATTTCATATGTTACCTACACAGAGTTTATCAGTCAGTCCAATCAGGTTCGCCGGCTACTTCCGTTAATCAAGGGACTTCCTTTCGAGAAGGTTAGTTGAGTTGTGTCATGCTTATTGCTATTTCTTATCTCATCTAATCATATATTGCACTATGTTGAAATTATAGACAAAATGGGGTTCATACCGCCCTCATACTTACTTCGGACTGAGGACGAGGGATCCACGGTCGCCTTTGTTTGGGGTTATGTGGTACGAACAGCCAGATGTCGTCCAAATGCCTCATATCAGGCATTGGTGCGATCAAGGTTGGCTTGGCTTTCTCTACAATGATCTCTTGTAATGCGATTTTTCAGCGACTTTTTCAGTCATCAGTGGAAATTGTGAAGCAATGTCATTTTCAGCAGATGGCTTGAAACATTACGCATGGTACTCAGCCGATGGTCGCACTTTTGGCCGCCAAAATATTACGGAAAAAGCTGGGAACTTAAGCGTCGACTGGATTAATCATGGGGAAACATGGACCGCTCGATTGTACGTGGCTCCAAAAACAAGATATGTCCTAATCCTTTATTTAGTTGCACAGGTGAAACAGTATTCCTGGAACTTTGTAGCAACTATCCAACCTTAGACATTTAGTCAGTGTTGAGACCCTTTTTGCAGGATTCGCAGTCAAAATTTCGACTTGGACATCATTTGAAAAATATTATTAGTGGCCAGACGGAGTTGTTCGGTCCTGTCCGCCTTGCTGTTGATCTTAGAAGTGGAAACAAAGTCCTGCATTCTTCTTTGGTATGGAATGAAGAACTACATCTGGATCATTTGAACGACTTATTACTCATGAATACAGTGAGTTATATTTTATGTCCAAAGACTTCTAAAGAGGTTCTTGTTCTAATATCCGTCATATTTTTCTGTCATCACAGTTTGTCTACAGCGTGCACTGGAATCTGATTCTGGATTGGTTTACCAGCTAGACCAGCAAAAGCCTTCCAACGAAGGTCGGTTCGCAGCCGTACAGCTGAATATCCACACCGAAACGGAAATTGAGATAGCTTTCAGGTATTTGGCTATATTTTAGCAATGCATAGTTACACTCCCTTTGCCAAATTTTATGATGGACATTTGTTTAATCTATAGTCACTGCAAAATTTTGCTCTTATAAATTTCACCAGGTACCTAATGTAACGGTCACGTGTAACGAACTGGTCGGAGGCGCCGTGCAACACACGTGGGATCTATCCCCGCGCCCGAGGCCCACCAAGCCTAGCATCGACCTCTCCTCGGTTGCCAAATTGCTACCAGACTACCAGACTTGTCTGAGAGGATAGCAGCAATGGTTCGATACATCGGTAGGCCACCGCGAGCCATTTTGAAGGCCAGGTATGCATTCAATCACCTTCAGCGATGCTTGATGAAGTCGAATGCATAGCACATTCCTCAGGGATTGGTCAATGCCGAGATCTTTATCCTTTATTCTTTATACCTAATGTGTGTTTTCTGAACGGTAATTTAGAGACGGCCAGCTTAATGTTTTAGTGGTTAGTTTTCCGTTATATTTCGAACAACGTAAAAGTTTTTAAGTACGAGTCGTGCCGAAGCTAAAACTGGGCCAAAGTTCCAAAAAGAGCTTGTAAAAAGGGAATTGGACTTCGATAGTCGCTTTGAGAGAATTTTCCATTTGGAAGGGAAGGTCGGTTTATTGAATATTGATGTATTTCCGCCTATTTCTTAACATTTTTTTTCAACTTTGTTAAATTTTTTTACAGCTCGTAGAGTATTATGCGTTGGAATTATCGCTCTCAGATATTATCCCGTTGTGTGTCTGTTGTGTTTAAAAGATAAGTTGTCTGATGAGTTTTTCTACTCTCTAGAATTATTCGCCAGTCGAACTTCAAATGGCAAAGGTAGCTCTGTCAAATATGCTTGGAGGCATTGGCTATTGGTACGGTTACAATAGGGTTGGTCTTTGGTATTAGACATATTTTCAAATGATATCGTGTTTGCGTTTCACAGGTACAAAAGGGTGGTGCGTCCGTAACAACACCTTATGGGCCCCATGAACTATTCTCAGCTGTACCATCACGGTCATATTTCCCTCGAGGGTTTCTGTGGGATGAAGGATTTCATAACATGTTGATACGAAAATTCGACCCTAAACTCAGTTTAGAGGTACTTCTCGTTTGTGCCTTTCTTCCTACATTTTTTTGAAGTGGCTTTATTGATATTGTCTTTAGATCCTTGTTTCTTGGTTAAACACCATGAGTGAGGATGGATGGATCCCCAGAGAAATGATTCTAGGAGTAGAAGCCGAAGCAAAGGTTAGTCGTTAGTGTAAAGGTGGCACGGTACGCTTAGTTGTTTTAGAGTTGAGTTTGAAGCTAGCTTTAGCTTTTAGAGTTTATGCTTTAAACTCTTTGATAGTAGTTTAGCTGGTGTTATTTATTGTTGACGCATCGTGATGATATGCATTTACAAAGCGGGTTTTTTTGCTGCTGTTTTCTTTTTGCCGCCCATTTTTTTTCTTCGGTATCTTTTTAACTGCAGCTCTTCCTCAACATAGATGTCCCAATTCTGTGCTATTGAATTCTGTTCTTTACATATTTACAAAATCTTTTCTTTTGGATGAATTATGTGGCGGTTTCTAGCCATCTGTAGCAATGGAGTAGTAACAGTAGGGTATTAGTGTAGTATTGTTGTTATGTCTGCTCAGAAGTTAGCGGACATATATAAAGCTACGGGATTTAGCGAGAAATTGGGTATCGGAACACAAGATCGACTCCGATAAACACTCATCGTTGCTCATGTGTTGATATAGAAATGAGGGCTAGTTTGAGTCTTTTTTAGTTTTAGTGAAAATAAGGAAAACTGAGTGTTTGTGGAGTAAGTGTTTGTTTTAGGTTCCGACGGAGTTCATCGTACAGCGGACGAATGTCGCGAATCCTCCCAGCATTTTTTACATAGTCGATCAAATGCTGGCTGATAAAAATGTAAGGAAAAGTCTGGGTTGCGATTATTTTTGACTATGCTTTACGACCTTTGCTTTGGTTTCTAATCTTGTGACATATCCTTCTAAGGGAAATCTGTGTCTTGGATTTGTAATACCCTTACTGTATTATTGAGCGAACAGCTCTTCAACCATTAAGTTTTAAGAAATTTGCTATTTTTAATTTCTGTATTTTTTTTGACTCAGTTGCTTGAAAAGCATGGCGCTATATTGGCTGGCATATATCGACGGTTGGAGGCCTGGTACCGATGGCTCTTGAGAAGCCAGGCTGGAAAAAAGAAGGGAACCTTCAGGTGTGGGTTCACTTTTCCTTATCAATTTTATTTTTCACAGTAATTCGTTTTGTAATTGAGTGAACGAGTAGATAGTGGAAAATGGTTGTCGGTGCTTTGGCCCGTGTCTATGATAAGAGTTTTATTTCTGATGAAATATTTTTCCGTTTGAAATTTGCTCTATATTCATCTTCTTTCAAATTTAATTATTTTTGAATGGTACATAGTTCTTGTTACTTAGTTGAATATTTGGATGGCCCGTCTTCATTGATTGTACGGGCCTCAGCACAATTTCCACTTTTTCAAAGTGTTGCTGGTCCACAGTGACTTCCTGGAGTCCTGAGGTCAGCTACATGTCTCTCAGCTGCACTTCCTATTGGTAACTCCAGGCTCATTCTCACCTTGGGAGACCCTGTTGAGAGGACGAATCTCCCTGATGACCATCGCAGCCCGACACCCAGAAACACCACTCATCCGTAAGCTTTTAGGAAGTTCCTATTATCACACTATTAATTGCCTTCGCTTTTGGGATTGCTTGACACTTTTTCCATTTACCATCCAGATGCAATTCATGTCCTTGCATCAGGTTTAGAGGTGTACTGTAATATACTTGGTCGTTGATTCGATCGCGCTCCGTGGACATGTCAAGCTCTTCTCTTCATGGGCGGCAATATGGTGCCACACATATTTGGGATGTTAAGAGCGCTAACTTGACACATTGGTAGACCACCGCAAGTCACTGTGAATGCCAATTAAGCATTCAATCAGCTATGCAATTCTTAATGGAGTTCAGTGCGCGATACATCCTTGAGGGATTGGTCAACGAACGTCTTATCTCTTATCTTTCATTTTTGTACCGAAATATAAACAATCTACGGTTGACGTAGTAAAGAATGTTGGATTGAAGGGTTAATTTTGCCTACTGTCGTATTGTGATGGTTAAATTTAAAGTTTTTTTGTAGTTTAAGCTGAGCGTTGGATGAAATAGTGGTTAATAAACCAGTCTTATTCAGATGGCGTGGGCGAAACGCTACTACATTGCAGGAACTTAATCCAAAGACGTTAGCTTCAGGGTTAGATGACTATCCCAGAGCTAGTCACCCTTCTCACGAAGTAAAAATTCCTCGTCTTTCTCATTATGTGGTTTCACTACTGATCTCCTTTGTGCAACTTTTTTTTTAGGAATATCATTTGGACCTCCGTTGTTGGTTGGCTTTTAGTAGCCGTGTTATGGATCGGCTTGCTCATCTTTATGAAGAAGAGAAACATAGAAGTAAATACGCTAGTGATGCATCCTTGTTAGGAAACTACGATGATCTTGTTCGTCTACATTGGAGTGAGGATAAGAAGGTAGGTTTTCCATTTGTATTTACCAAAGATGTGATCCCTCCCAACAGTTTACAGCCTCATCCTTATTCGGAGGTATTCCTGGGCGTCGGGTTGTGATATACAGCGGGGGATTCATCCACCCAGCAGAGTCTCCCAAGCTGGTAAAGAGTCCGGCATTTCCATCAGGAAGCCCATCTAGGAGTAAACCAATGCCAGGATCCACCACCGTCCTGGTATTAAATTATTCGCATGGCTGGGAATCTTCCTCTGATCCCACAAAGGCGGCGACTGCATGTGGTGGTGACGACCTGGTGCAGGCTTTGGTCTGGCTGACCTTGGGAGTCCAGCGAGCCACAGTGGCTAAACCAGCAAAACTCCGGAGAATGGAAATTATGCTGGAGTCCCCACAACCAGTGAAAAAGGGCCGTCCAAGTAAGTATTCAAGTAGGAATATGGTCACATTGGTCCTGTTCTTGTGCAAATGTGTAATATTTACCTTATATAATGAAAAAATCTGCACCTCTTTTTTGACCTAAGATGGTTTATCTATCCGAGAGCTACTGCGTCAAAGAAAAGTCTTGTTGATTGGGTAAATAGGAATTTGGTGATAAATGTTCATCTGTGGTGTTTTCTTTTATAATTCTTGATGCCAGCGCTCTACGATTTCATCTAGGCTTTCTACGACTATGGTAGGCATAGTAATAACGTCCGTCTCGTTAAGAAATCGCGTAGGGAATCTCCGGAACAGTTCTACTATGAAAGGTTAAGACTGTTTTTTTGTTCCCTGAGATCCATTTTGTCTCACCGCTTTTCTGCTTTCATTTCCTATAGCAATATATTACAAATTTGATATTGACAACGTAAAATAACATAACATGGCTGAAAGAAAAGCGGAACGAAGGACTCGCATGGTGTGGTGGTGAACGCCTTAGTTTCCGGAGAGGGTAATAGCGTGTTCGATCCCCACCGTAGATACCAGCGGTCCGGAGTTTTGCAAATATCGCAGCATCATTATGGTTATATTTCACATAATAAACTGCCATTAAAAAAGTATTGGCAGTGAATAAAAAAGTAGCAAAATATTGTTGATTTCTTAGTAGTTCGTGTTTTATCGTTTGGCTTGTTTATTTCTGCTCGTGGTTCTCTAGTGCATTATTAGATTGAAAGCAGCTTTAAAGAATTCTCATGAAACGTCTAGGTCAACTATGAAGGAACCTCGACTTGGTTTTGTGGACGATGTGTTTGGATACAATAGTCTGTTCCCTCTAATGTTGAAACTCTTGCCACCCGAGTCCGAAAAGCTAGGTCACATCCTAGAAAAACTCTTGGACCCTGAGGTTTGTGACAGTTAGTTATAGAAACGAAGCTTCGTTACTCATAGTGTATTCTTAGTTACTTTGGACTCCATTTGGAATTCGATCTATTTCTCGAAATTCGCCTTATTATGCTGCTAGGAATACAGAACATGATCCACCGTATTGGAGAGGGTATGCCCTTTATTAATAATAAGAAGTAATGCTTCGCCTGAGTTCGTAGCTTCAATTTCCTTTAACTTTGGTAACCAATCGTTCTTTCTTTCTCAATTTCTAGTTATATATGGATCAATATTAACTGTATGGTTCTTTCTGCTCTGAAACATTATGGATCTCTTCCTGGACCCAATCAGGCTACTTCACGGAGTGCTTTTTTCGACCTTAAGAAGAACCTGGTGAATAACATGGCTAAGGTTGGTTGCGCTTGAAAAATACTTTGGTTAACAAGCGGACGCGAAGTTTTTGGTATAATTTTTTCTTCATTGGCTTTTCTTTAATGTTTTCAATAACAATGCCTAAAGTTTCGGTGTATTTGGCCTCCTTCAAAACTTGGAAAAGGTCAAACTGATAAGCAATCTGTTGTGCCAAATATTCTCACTACCGTAATAGAAAGAAACTCAGATTTTAACGGTTCAATTTGCTTTTAGTTTTCAATTGTTTTGGAGATTGTTGTCGATACTTACGGTATAGTATAATATTGATGGTATGTGGTTTGTATTCTCCTTTGTTAACATTCTTTAAACTAACCGTAAAGGATGCAATAACTTTTTACCTACTGCCCACTCTTTTTTTCGTGGCAGGGCATGGTGTGAATTGGTGCTGAGATATTTGCAAGGTCCCGGACCGGGAATCAGGTTTCTGCGGGAATCAAATAGCTATTACCGTTTCCGAGGGCTAACGTGTTCACCACCCCACCATGCGCATTCTTCATTTCGCCTTTCAATCAGCCTTGTTTTAACCTATAGGTGTTGTCAGCAATCATCCGTCAGCCTAGAAAACATTGCAGAGCCGGCACGAAGGATCTGCACAGCGTGGTGGTGAACGGGTTATTCGCCGTATAGGGTAGTAGCGTGTTCGATCCCCACTGCAGACACCTGTGGTCTGAAGTTTTGTACATAACCGTAGACAATTTTGACTAGGTTACAGGATAGCGAGATTACCGTAGAATAACATAAATAAGTTGACCGTAGACAGCTTCCATATTATTTTAAATAATTTGTTTCAAAGTTACAAAACAAAACCAACTTGCGCTTGGTACATATTTGTTCGCGCAACCGTTCAAAGTTGTTTTCATTGATTAATTAATTTTAATCAAGTCCTAACTACGTATTATTTTGTTTTACATGCGCTCAGGGCTACAATAGTTTTTGTAGCCGTACGGTATGTTTTTTTAATATTGCTTATGCTCTTTTTATTTCCATAAGTATTCTTGACATTTGACGCTTATCATTAACATTTCTGACTCTTAGATGTGATGAAGAAAGCTTCGTCTACCATTCTTAGAGGTTGCTGTCGGCCTTTGGTAGTTAATTTTATAACATTTGTTGAACACACACTATCATTTCTGTGTATCCTTTATTTCCACCCGCATTTGAGCATGGCGCAATTGGGAAACTTCCCATAGGTGTACTGCATAGAAGCACATTGATGAGCATTCTGTGTGCCGAGTTCGGAATATGTTAATACCCTACGCATTAGAGACAGTGCGACATCCTGACGAACAAACTCGTGTGAAAAAAAGTATCTTGTAGGTTATTATGTGTAGAATATAACAGTTTTTGAACCATACCTAGTACAGTATCTCCGGTGAAAAAACTGTCCACTTAATGCAAAAAATATCAGAAAGAAGTTTTTTTATACTCCGTTGTGCTAAACAAACAACTGGAAAGAAAATGAATTAAATGCAGTGCATACGGTCCATTCTGCCGCCCAATAGCCCTTGAGATTAATGAGTAGGGTTGCAAATGGATAATAAATTTCAGCTTTTATACGCGCTATATAAATAAATCGCTGTAGTGTCATCGAGTCTGACTCTTGCTCGGCAAACTGTTTCTGGAGTGAAAGAAACCTATATTTGACTATGTATTTTTGCAGGAATTTAATCGCACCGGTTATATCTGGGAGAACTATGATGACCGAAGTGGTCATGGTCGTGGTTCTCATCCTTTTAATGGATGGAGTTCCTTAATACTGATGGTCATGAGCGACGATATGCAAGCTTAATAGCTCACGATTGTTTTAATTGTTGACTTGTTTGATGACTTTATGAATTACCAAATTTTCATGCGAAATTTTTATGGGTGCAAATTTTTATAAATATTCCAAGTGTTCTGTTTTCGGTTTACTGTTCATGCTAGTAGTGGAGCTGTATGATATCTGATAATATTTCCAATTCTGTGATATCTGAAATGCTTCTGAGATATCTTACCTTAACCTTATTGATAACTTTACGCAAACATGATGTAGATCTTCATTATGGCTAACGTTCCATAGTGACGTTAACGTAGAGGAATTCACTATACTGTTGCCCACAACTAGCCACAGTAAAGATTTCTAACAACCTCATGTAAGCTTATTACGAAAAAAAAGTTTGATTATCCTTGCCGAGGTTCAATGAAAATCCGTGTTGACATTTCTTTACTGATAAACTTGTCCTCCCAATGGTTTACTGCTTCATCGTGGCTGGGAGATGTTCCTGGGTGTCGACCTCCAGTGCGGGGATCCGTCTCCCAAAACGGCCTCCCGTGCCGAGAAGTCCGGCTAGGGGTAAACCAGTTCCAGGTTCGATCACAGCGCTGGTGTCAAATTAGTCGTATGATAGCAAATGTCCCTCTGCTCCACATAAGCGGCGATTGCCTGTGGTGGTGACGACCTGGGGCATACTTCGGCTAGGCCGACCCCTGGACTCCAGGGAGCCACAATGACTAATCCAGGAAAACTTAGAAAGTGGAAATTGTGGTGGTTTCGCACAACCAGTGAAGACAGTCCATCCAAGCACTTTGGCTTAATAGTCGATTTTAGGCGAATGTGGTTATACAGAAAATTCAAATACCACTCGTTGCGATTGAATTCTGTAAAATTCCGAGGTCTTCATTATCGAACCATGAGTCATAGCTAACGTTTGTTCTAGTGTTATACACGTACATTGTTTCCTAAAACTGGTGGTATCGATTTGTGACCAAATACTCACACCGTGTATTGTTATTCTACAAAGTTCGTTAATTTTTTAAATTTCTGGTATTTCTAGTATCCGCTGTTTCCGCTAATTTGTTGATTTTAGATCCTCTGTTTATAAGCGTCAATGGAATAATGTATTCAGTGGACGTAGTTGGAAGCGATAATGAGTTAGTTCTTTTTCATCTTGTATCTATGAAATTTAATTTGCAAGGTTTGGACTGTGTCATGGTAACCCATTCTGTCTTGGCGCCGTCTTTCGTGGCTGGCCCAATCGAATTCGAACAGCTCGCGAGGTGGCTATCCTTTTGGTTTTTTGGCAATGAAAAATCTTTCCTCAATAACCGTAGGATCTAAAGGAATCTAAACAGCCAGGGATTGTAAAAGAGGCTTTGCTTTATCATTCAGTGGCTATGAATGATATATATATGTTACTGTTTACTGTGGCCCATTATGCAAATGCATACCTATCAGCGTTTGGAAGTAGTTTACAGTTTATGATGAGTCAATTTCGGTATTTTTACATCTAAAGGTTCCGTACAATAAGCTCTAAAAAAGATAAAGCTTTCGGCGTTGATCAATCTCGGAGGGGTGCGCCATGCATCCAACTTCATTAAGCATTGTCGGAGGTGATCAAATGCATATCTGGCCTTTACAATGACTGGCAATGGGCTACCGATGCATCGGGCTGGTGCTGCTATCCTCCTAAACAAGTCTGGTGCCAGTTTGCCGAACCTGGATGGATAGAGGGCTTGGTAGACCTGGGCCGTGGGGTTTGATCCCATGTGTATTGTAGGGCGTCTCCGACCACTGCGCTACACGCTGCCATTCAACAAGCCTAACGAGTAAGATGAAATTGCAATAAATTTCTAGTAGAGTTACCGGTCAATGGGCTTTTCCGAAAGAAGAAGGTTTTTTGTCAATCGTTAAGTGTAGAGAATGGTTTTTCTACTCTTACTGCATCGATCCATTTCGATGTGCTCTTGATTAGCTAATGAGGAAACATGCAGAGGACGCTGAGAAAAAGAAACCGTGGAACCCACTAAAGTGGGAATGAACACCAAAGTGTCCATACGGGGTTGAATGGGCTAAAATGTAGACTGCTTCATGCCCATCTTACCCAAGTATTTAATTGGTGACAACTCACCTTAGTTGAATTATTGTTGTAGTCGGTAGTGTCCCGCTTCTAAATTCGAGGTAAAGTACCACAGTAATCGACTTTTATACGATTATCTGAGGTCTTTCAAGGTCAATTATTGTCGAGTGTTATGAGGAGTAGAGACACAGAGGGAAAATGTGTTTAAAAAATGTATAAAGCTGTCGGCGTTGATCAATCCCTGAGGGATGTGCCATGCACAGGTATTGTTAAAGGTGACTGAATGTATATCTAGCATTTACAATGGCTCGCGGTGGCCAACCGATGTATCGTGCCAGTGCCGGTATCTTCTCAGACAAGTCTGGTACTCATTTGGCGACCTCAGAGGGATGGCGGACTTGGTGAGTCTGGAGCACAGGGATCGATCCCATGTGTGTTGCAGGGGGTCTCCGACCACTGCGCTAGTTGCGCCCCAGAGAAAATGCATGGAGACATAAGCGCGCTGGCGCTGGCGGTCTACATACTCACGTAGTGAGGATTTAGCACGGTAATGGTTTCAGCTGTAGGTGTAACTTTGGGTGTATTCCAGTCATTGACACTTATAGTTGTGGTAAGTATTAATTTCTATCACCGTAGTTATTGGTTGAGGCATATCAAAACGTCTTTCTTTTTGCTTGTAAATATGTTTTCTGATAGCTTAATTCGTCCTTGATTAAACGATTAACGCCTGGAGGAGTTATATGAGTGTAAATCAGATCAGAGTTTATTTTGAAGCTTGGGTAGTTCCATGCCTATCACAACATAGTCTAAAGTTTCTGGGTTGTTCTCGTTGTTTGCGAGTCAGACTTTTATCCATTCAGTTCACCAACTTTTGTCAAACTTCGAATGTTGATATACAGTTTTTTTGAAAGTGACCAAGTTTTGTCCATAGCAGCTGTTGTTTTTAATGTCAAAATTTTAGTTTTGGGAAGTAAAGATTGTTCAGTAGGTTTTCAATTTCGGAGCATATCCTTTACTAATCAATATGACAACAGAGTTACAGGGCATTCACCAATGGACGGTTAGCGATAGAAAGCGAAAAATTCGCTCAGAAATCCTTGTATTTTGGTCTTCTGTTGTCTTTTGTAGGGATTCTAGCTTCGATCCCGTGAACGCAGTTCGGCCATCATCTTTACTGGCCATTGTTTCGTCACCTGATGCCCCGTTTCGTATACGACAGCCGTACTTGTTCACTGGTATTCGCGTTTTCGTTTCTAATCCATTAAAGAATTGTTGTGATTTTTAAATAAAGTAGTTCACCTAGTGAATCCTGGTTTTGTTTTGCGGAGATATTTATGGAAAATTTGCGCTATTGTACCTATTTTGTTCATCTGGACCAAAAGCGTGCTGGAATGCATATCTCAGATAGCTCCTTTTTTCACATTGATGACTTAAATAGTGCTCAGTTACTTTTGATTCCCAAGAATGTTTAGGTATGAGCAAAACTCGGGTCCGCAGATGTGCTTTGAACCCGCGATTACCTTTTACAGTGACTCATGTGTCACCCACTGGGCCACCTAGGCTCTTGTTTTCCTTTCTTTCAGTTAATTTTTTTTACTCTATAGGTGCTATCAGAAATCAGTTGTCAGGGAAAATGATCTGGGGAGCACAAATCGACAGTGAACCTAGTTAAGCTAAAGCTGCCGTCAAAATCAAAATGTGTTAAATTTTATAGCTGAAAGAAGGGTAAAGCAAGGGCCTCGGTGTTGCAGTGGAAAATACGTGAGACCCTGGAAAGGGTAGTGGCGGGGTTCGAAGCTCAACTGAGATTCGGAGTCTTGCCGATATCTCGCCATCACTTTGGCTCTATTTCACATAGGACCTTGCCATGGAAAAAAAATAAAGTAGATTAAATAAAAGAAGCATTTCAGTGATGCTGAGATATTTGCAAAACTCCGGACCGCAGGTATATGCGGTGGGGAACGAACGCGCTATTGTCCTTACCGGGGAGTAGCGCACTTCACCACCACACCATCCGGGTACTTCGTTTTGCCTGTCTCTCAGCTAGTTCTATCGATCTTTTGCCATCAGCAATCACCCGTCAACGGGATTGATCTGGGGCGCCCAAATCGGCAACGAACCCAGTTAAGCTGAGGCCGCAATTATAATCACAATTTAACGTATTATTTACTGCCTACTCCTTTTAATTTTGGGCCTCCCAGATCAATCCCGTTGACGGGTGATTGCTGATGGCAAAAGATCGATAGAACTAGCTGAGAGACAGGCAATACGAAGTACCCGGATGGTGTGGTGGTGAAGTGCGCTACTTCCCGGTAAAGAGAATAGCGCGTTCGTTCCCCACCGCATACACCTGCGGTCCGAAGTTTTGCAAATATTTCAGCATCATTGAAGTTATATTTCACAATGTATACCGTGCCGTTGAAAAGAGTAGGCAGTAAATAATACGTTAAAAAGAAGCATTATTCCGTATCTCGTTCGAAAATTAACTAGTTCGTATATCGTGTTTAGGTGGACTGGGTCTTTCAAGGGAAGGCAGCATGGTGTCACTTAATTCTGAGAACGATTTTCGGGAACATAGTATGGCGCTGCGATATCGCCTGTATAGTCGCCTTGATCCTGGAGGACGACAATTTGTATGTTTTTGACATTTCTGAAGAAATTTTTCGCCTTTTTGGTTGAAGCATTTCCTCGAAGTTACACATCTATTGCAGCTTATGCCAGATCATGTTATTCCATCAGAGTATTTCTCTATATTACCTTTCGATGATATGAAGGACGGTAGTGGTAAACAAAGCAGTTTTGTCACCATGCATGTTTCTTATTGTGTAATTTTTAAAGAAGAAAAGTCCGTGGTGTGAAGTGCTTTTGCAATTACAATGATGCTGAGATATTTGCAAAAACTTTGACCGATGATGCCACTGGTCAGCAGAGAGCTATCTGAGAGACAGGCGAA